CTGTAAGTGAATTAGTCCTGAGAAGAGACCAAAAACCCAGTCAACCTGCAAAAATCTGGAAGATAATAGCAACAGTTCTGAATAAAACTCTGTGGATTCAGGGATACCAGTGGATGTGTACCTTGATTTTAGCAAGGCTTCTGAATCTCCTACAACATTCTCTCAGGCAAGCTAAGGAAGTAGAGGCTGGATGAATGGACTGCAAGGTGAATAGAAAACTGGCTGGAGCAGCAGGCTTAGAAAGTAGTAGTCAATGGCTCAATGTCTATGTAACCCAGGCGGTACTCCAAGAGGTACCCCCTCTCCAAATGAAGGGATCAAAGCAGGTGCACAAGCACTGGGAGGCGTAGGGACTCTCCTCTCCCTATAGAGCAGAGCCAGACCAGCAATGGGGACTTAACTATATACCTTTTAATACTGGGAACATAACAGGCATAAATCAGAGGGTATAGTGGACACTACAATGCCCCAAGGGGGCAGGATTCAACAAAGGATAGCAATCATTTACAAAAAACAGGGTTAACAAAATATAAAACACAAACAGCAAAACAAACAATACGGGTTGGTGAAATATGAAAAGGCGCAAAATGTCAAATGACAAGGAAATATAGGGCCTTGGTACCTGGAGGGGGAAAAACACAATGGCCCCTTTTCACTGCAAGAAGATTTTCTTCCTGTTAACTCACTCACCCCAGCTGGAACTTGAACCCAGATCTCTCACAGGGTGGGCAGGAACACTGCCACACAGCCACCACTGGTGGCACTGCACTAGGCTGCTAGGGGTCTTGACCTTCCCAGAGCCCCAGCCTCACGTCGAGCTGCCTGGCCTCTGATTGGAGGAGCTAGAAGCAGGGCTGGGAACCCCTCAGGTCGCTGCTCAGATCCTTCCTGGAGCTGGGGAGCCTCTCCTGGGGGCTGCAGCCTCTGGTAGGGGATCCTGGAGCCCAGTGGGGAGCCTCTCCTGCCGGCTGCACGCTGCGCTGCTGAGGGTCCCACTGCTGCCTGCCGGTCCCACTCCTTCAGGGTCTTCCAGGGCACTGCTCCTGGCTCAGCTCTTACCAGCTCTGTGAAGCTCCTTCCTTGTTGTCCCTCACTGGTCTCTCCCCTGAGTCAGCCCATGCTGCCCCTTTTATCCCCCTCCAGGTGACCCAAGGGGCCAATAAAACCCCTGGGCCAAATCATTACCAGATTGGTGAGGAAAGGAAATGCCAAGTCCTCCAATCATCTTTTGCCCTTTCAAAACCCCTGGGCCAGG